TGTATGTTCGTTTTGATAAGGAAATATTTTCGGGAGGTCGTAGTTTCAGTGTCATTTTTCGTGTGATTTGAGTTTTAATATTACTTAGTGTGAGTCGCAAGGAAATGTGAGACTTTGTGCTAAATGAAATCATTTGTATATGTGATGATGTTGGTCGCTTTGGTTTTTCTCAATGTTGAGTTAGTTTCAGTTGAGCGTATATGATTATTATGGTTATGTTTGATGTTTCCATAGATGTTTGTTATCACGGCAAGTGAGGTACAGCTATCGGTACATTAGTAGAGAAAGGGAAGTTAGTAGATGAAATGCGAAAGATTTTGTTTGTAATATGCTGCTTGTGCATTTTTGGTTTTGTCGATAACCGAGTAAATTGTTTTACACTCCCCCCCCCTCCCCCAGACGCTACTTGGATGTTTGGTGCAAGTATAATAGAACTAGTAGCACTTACAGTCCGTACAGGTCTTGGATGTGGACTGCATGTATGCGACATTGTGGATAGTATTTTAAGCTTAGAAATTACACAAATTAGCAGTGTGTCACATATTTATGGGATGCTAAGAAAATTAGGTTACATAATAAAGAGACTCGTGGCATGTGAGGATACTGAAGATTGAAAAGCGTTGGAAGGTCCATTTTTGAGAGATTTCCCCATGACTTATTTCTTCTTTTGTGCCCAACATGATAGCTTATTTGTGATACAAGTTTCTGTCTTATAGTGCGTTGTTCAAGATCGTGTCGCTCATTACTTTTGGCATCAAGGTTACTTATTTTTCTTTTACGCTGTTTCTTACATCAGAGAAAAAGTTGCTTCATTAATAAAATATGAGATGAAGCAAATCGTATAATCCATTGTATGGAAGCAAAATGCATTTTCTACCCAGAAAAATTGTTCTCTCATAGAGAAAATAAAGTAGCTAACGAAGTTCAATATTGGAGGATGGAAATGAATTTTAAAACTCCTGATTCCATTTAGCTCAAATTTCCTTTGGAAATCTCTGCTTATTATGAAATACAACGGAAATTTCTTTGACAATGAACTACTAAATGTATCTTTAGGTTTTTCAACATATGGGTCGTGGGAATTTTTCAAACAATTTGGAAAAACTGTACTATTACATAGCTAAAGGTGGGAGGTTGCTGTTCCGTTCCCAGGTAACTGGTAACTTTTCAAAATGATGAATCATCACTTCTGTTCGACCGAACATCCTCATTGTATTATTTATTCATTTCGCCCTTTATCAGTTACCTGGTAACTCCAAACTCTGTTTAATGTTGTATTGACGATATTTGGTTTAATGGAAGTGATGATTCATCTTTTTGAGCAGTTACCAGGAAAAAGTAACTGGTAACTCCTTCGTTATCAGTTACTCAGGTAATGGTAACTTTTCCGTTACCCTGTCCGGATAGAAGTTTGGGAACGGTACCTCCCCACCCCTAGACATAGCAAACGTTTTTGTAGCACATGATCCGAAAGGATTTTTGGAATGTTTGAGAAAGATATCATGGATCGCTTCCCTACCATTGATTACTCCAAATAGTCGCAAACACCATGGAAGATCGCTATAGAAATCTTCAGCGATCCACATAAACCATGGAAAACTGACAGCAAAAGAATGAGATTCATGTTATGTACGTTAGAAGATGATTCAAGCATTAACTGTTGAGTCGAAATGATGGTCAGAGATCTTTTGTGTGATCTTCAATAGAAAGGTTTATCGAGTGGCCACCTCCCGGCATCAGGTGTTCTACTTTTAACAACCAACAAAAAGTACATTCTGAGATGCAGACACGATCAATACTCTTTATTTCACATTTAAGTTCTTCAATGGACTTTTCTAATTGTTTTCCTGAATAAAACAGTCATCAATTTGAAAAATTGTTAAGAAACTTATTGATAAGTATTATAATGATCAAAATTGTCGAACATGCAATGTCCAATAGTTATCCGTCAATCGTGATGAATACCTTCAGATATAACCTGATTCACCGCAACACAAAGCATATACTTATATGTAACATGACACGTCATAGCGAGCTACAAAGAAATACTTTATGTAGATAGTTCTTTCCTTTGTTAGAAATATCATAATCGGTGGTACCATAGGCCTCATACGGTGCATATGACAGAGGTGGTGCAATGTAAGTGAATTTTAGTCTCAGGATCATTTAAGAGCAGAACATAAAAACAGGAAATTTTCAGAACATCTACTTGATTATAGATCTTTTCGGCTTCTAGAGGTCCTGTGGTCCGGTGAAAGCTCTATAAATATCGGCATTTTTTTGTAGAATACTGCGATGAGCAGTATCCGTTCACATAGGTGATGTTTTTAACATTCTTCAAATTACCTTTCTTGTGAAATCGCATAAAAGTGATTTAGTTAAAAAGTTAAACATCTAAAAATTTCACTAACAATCGAGAAAAGTTCGATTCTTTTATCGTCATGCGATAAACAATTACTCGAATAACACTTGTCTAGTATGCATACCAGATTCCCTGCTGGGTTCACGGTGACATATACCAGTGAACGCATTTGTGAAATATGTGAATGGCGAATCTTGAGATACTTTGAAATGGTTCATCCTATTATGGTTTTGATATACTTCTTGCTTCCTTCCTTGTAGGTTTATGGGACATGTCCGAATTTCACGAATTGTGAAGGTCATGGGTATTGTCAATTCGGTCAATGTATTTGCACATTTCCGTATTATGGAGCAGCTTGTGAAATGATGTTTACCCCACCAGTATTCAGTTCCTTGCCAATTATTATTGTAAATGAATTTAATTCGACATTAATCAATCTAACCTCATATCTTATCTCTGGAACGCCTCCGTTTCGATATCAATTCTCAGATACTAACGATGTATACTCAGTCAATTTTTACTATAATTGTCTCTCTTTAAATGAAATCTCTGGCGTACTGAATATAACACAAGCAATAGCGTCTGAATATTATTACAACTACACGATTTCAGTATCAAACATTTTGTCAGCGGTCGATTTGATTGTAATCATTAGAGTTGCTCCTTCTTACAATGCAACAGTATCCTGGAAAAATTCTCATCAATATTTTTCGGCATCTAGTATTCATTTATTCGAATATTCTGGAAATTCGACAATGTTTAACGTACCCATAGCCATCTGGATAAATGATTATATGTATATGCAAGTGAACAGTGATCACGATGGTCGTTTCAGTGGATCCTTTCAAATAGGGAGTAATTTATTTGGAGGTCAATTACATATTGCGGCAGCTCATCCGATCGTTACTTCATCACCGCAATCTCAAGATGTAATTTTCATTGAATATCTTAAGCTTTCATTATCCAAATGGAGCTATCAATTCTATGCAGCATATGTAACAAACTTCACTGATTTTGCTACCATTCAAAATCAAGGTGATTTCGACTTGATTAATATTACGGTTGATATAATACAAGATACAATATGCGTTGAAAATTATTCTGCTTGGCCCACAATAATTCCTGTTCTACCAGCATTCTCAAATATGACAATTTCATTATCAATGCTACTCAATTGCACACTATCAGCTCAATATATGAACTTTTCTATAAGTGAATCCCGAATACCGTTATTAACATCAGCGGGATTTATCATTGACAGCCAATGGAGCTGTCGTACTCAAAATGGATGTAGCAATCATGGATCATGTATTAATAATGAAACATGTTTTTGCGCAGATTCATATTCAGGATATTCGTGTGAACAATGTATTCCTGATCGATATGCGTATCCGAGTTGTATCATATGTCCAACTTGTGTACGAGGACAAACGATATGCAATAGTTCAGTTGCTATTTGTGATTGTATAGACAATACTCGCATTTATGGTACATTATGCCAATATTGTAGAGAAGGCTATTATGGTGACAACTGTACCAATATGCCAGTCCTTTCCTCATTGTTTCCAAGATCTAGTTCCGAATTGACAAATGAAACACTTGTGACACTGGTCGGTGATAACTTTAATAATGTATCATTATTTTGTCTTATTATTGACCAAAATGATACAATATCAATCCCAGCCGTTTACATTAATACTGGAAAGATAACATGCCAGTTCCCATCTCATCGGGCTGAACTGATTGAAGTACAACTTATTATGAATGAATCCATTGTTTTTTCGGAATCGAAACTTGTTTTTCAATACTTGTCCAGTTGCCCCGATACAGGCTGCAATCAAGGACTTTGTATTTCAAATACTTGCCAATGCTGGTATCCACATTTTGGCTCAGATTGTTCTCTATATCCTATTCCACCAGTTTTGACTACAATACACAATATGACAGCAATCGAAATGTCTTCGTTTACTTTCAATCTTTCTCAATATCTAACTCAGGGCGAATTTCCACTTGAATGGAGTCTTAGTGGTACTATACCTTCAGGACTCTCTATTACTCCATATTCTGGATTATTGTCATGGTCATCCGCAGTTGCTTTATCTACAATGTACAGCATGATAGTAAATGTGCGCCAAAGCTCGACTGGTATCATTGCTGCACAAACATTTTTTATCAGCGTGCCACTGAGCTACAATGTAACAGTACAGTTTCAAAAAACACATCAGATTCTGAGAACAAAGGCAAAGTTGCAAATCGATGGACAAATCATTAGTAATTCAACTAACATTATGAATGACCGAAATGTAAAAGTATGGGTTCTACTTAACAACATTCGACGATACCTTCCGAACATCACTGTTCCTGGTGGTTCGAATCGATTTACTGTTTACTATACACCTCAAACAAACGAATTTGGGACGCTTTTTGTAGGTGCTGAGCATCCTGCTTTTCAATCAGAGAGTGAACCTCAAGATTATCTTACTCTACTCGGTTTGAGTACTCAAGTACTTTTATCTGACACATTGAATGTTAGAATAGAAGAAAATTCCACTACTTCATTTGTATCTGTTGCTCTTCTCTCGAATCCATGCGAATATTCTATCGACAATTTAACCCTATTTTTAATTAGTCCCGTAGCAGTTTTACCACTTTTTGATGCATCATCATCGAACTGTAGTTTGATGAATATGCCTCCTTTCACAACTTGTGCTATCGATATCAAGGTTCGGTTCAATCAGACTGGCTCTGGCACTCTCTCTTTCGGATGGTCTGCTAATGGTATACAACCTGTGACTATTTCATTGTCAGTAAAAGTAATATTTGGCGCAGCTGAATTCAAACTAAATCCATCGTCATCGAAATTGATTATCCCTCGCAAATCTCAAGAAAATCTCGTCATCAAAATCTATAATACAGGATCATTTGTGTTGGGACCTTTGACTGCTGTCCTACCGAATCAAACTTACGTTTTCGTGATAACCTCCGAGATCTCCATCTTAAATGTATCAGAAAATGCAGATTTCACTTTTGGCATTATAATACCAGAGCTTGCTCCATTAACTACATTTACAATACGAGGAATGATTTTCGATCGAACTCGTTCTCTTTCCCAACCATTTGATATTCAAATTAATATTGTGGGAAATAATAATACTTTATTCGATTTGAATATAGTGTGTCAAGATGAGTTCTCGTACTTTGGGAGTAATCCAACGAATTTAGCAAATGTAACAATTACAATCAGTAATGCTCAACTCAACATCAAACATGTTTTAAAAAGCAATGCAACAGGACAAGCATCAATATCGCTTGTGGCTGGCTTTTATGAAGTAACAGCTCAAGCATTGAAACACACGAGCTACGCGAATGTTATAAAAATTGATAGGGTGACAGCTTCATCTTATTCATTGATTATTTTTCTTCAACGTACTCTTGTCTCATATACATTCAAAGTTACCCGAATTCCGTTTGAACAGACATATAAAATAGAGCTCGATGCTCAATTCGTTCCTTATGTGGATGCTCCTGTTCTGGTAATTTCACCCACTACGGTACATCTTGTGAAACTAGAAACTAACGAAAACATAAATCAAATTGATTTTACTTTCACGAATTATGGTCTTATCAGATTGACAAATCTGCAACTCAAATTGCCAAATGAGCATCCTTATCTAAGATTCACTGTCAGACAATTGCCTATTGGCGACATTGAAGCCAACTCTTCAATCATTGTTGCTGTTGATGTACGGCGCCTTAATGTCACTCGAATGAGGCGCGCTAGTTTGATTGTAATGGCTGGGGAGTATTTAGGTCGGTACGTATGTGGGGGTGAATGCACAATCGGAGCAAATTTACCTATTTTTGTAAACGAAATAATAGATTCGACTGTCGCCTCTTATCTTACATCTGGTATTGGCGGTGGTGCTGAAAGTGGTGGAACTGCAAGTTGGGGCAGCTCAGTGCCAGCTGGGGGAGGCGGCACAGGAAGTTTCGGATTTGGATCCTCCGGTGACTTTTCTGAGATGCTCCAGATTCTTGGAACAACGATAGATCCAGTAATTGCTCCATTGTTGCCTGTTCCAACATGCGAGAGTTGTGTAGGAACTTTAGCTAGTGCAGCCGCTGATCTCTTGATTCAGCGGCTTCCTATTGGTTGGCGAGTGGTTCTGAATGTAATTGATAAGTGCGGTAAGTGTTGATGGGATAGATAGATTACTGTAAAGGTAAGATTAGTATAACCGTTCCATTCCGTTGACTATATTCTAGGAGGGGTTTTGTGGTCCATGGCGAAAAATATTGCTGATGTGGTTGCTGAGCAAGATCCTATTCTTGCCGTAATGAAAGTGACTAGTGCTATGCGAGAAGGGCTTCATGATGCTATGGAATGTGGAAAGAGATCGATTTTGTTCTCAAAAACGATGCGCTCTGTGTTCAAACATGCAACCGAAGTCGATGACGGTGTAGACAACAATGTTGCATTTTGTTTGGGGTTCGTAACATCCTCGTTATTGTCCAGAAAGAAAAGAAATTCATGGAATGAAAATGCTGACATTGCACTAGAACGGTTAAGCTTTATTGTGCAAGCAGCGAATAATTATAAAAATATTATAAGCTTGATATATGGTAACAGTGACTGGCTTTATATAAATTGTACAGACAGAAATTGGGAAGATGCACTGATTAGTACGCAAGCACCAAATAGTGATTTAAATTATCTTATTAGTACTGAAGAATATGATCAATTGATGGTATTTCCACATGCATGTGCGAACCAAAGCCTATTGTCAGATTACTTATTGTATTACAATAGAACGCGATATTTTTATTCGATTAATATAACTGAACCAAGTCGTTTGAGCGACACACGTCTCTCATTTATGAGTTTATCAGTATTTTCTAACCGAAGTTCTCAATATTTCGCAGATCTAGATCATATTCATGAGCTTGGCTATTTGAGTTTACTCGATGCATACATCGGCATTTCTCAGCAGTATCTAGATGCACACAGAGATTCCCCAGCAGGAACATGTGCAGTGGTGACTATTCGTATCGTACAAAATGTAACCATCACTCGACAAGGGTTTGACGCAGAATTAGTAATTGATAACAATGGTGAAGAAATCTTGCAGGATATTCAAGTCAACATATATGTTCAAACTGATGATAAATCCAATGCAACTGATCGATTTAGCATAGGACGACCAAATATTACAGGTGACATACACAATAAGGACTTATCTCCGAAGAGTAGCGGACAATTCAATTGGTTCATTATTCCTTATTCATCCGCGGCTCCTATTACTTCAACGTGGTATTCTGTTGGTGGACAACTCTCGTATACCATTGATGGACAACTCGTGAATATTACGCTTATACCTGACAAAATTCAAGTGAATCCAGAAGCTCGCCTCGACATTGCATACTTTCTTGAAGAATATATCGTAGGACCTGATCCGTTTTCAAGTCAATGGATACCTCCAAAGCCATTCATTCTTGCTGTCGTAATCACGAACAGTGGTTATGGCTCAGCAAATAACTTTCGCATAGAAACTGCGCAACCAGAAGTTATCGACAATGAAAAGGGTTTATTGATTAATTTTACGATTGTTGGAATCAATGTGAATGAAACAGATCAGACAGAAAAAAAACTGTCAGCAGCACTAGGGGATCTGTCACCATTCTCCTCTACCACAGTAATATGGACACTTATTACAACTCTCAATGGTTACTTTAGAAAATTCAATGCATCCTACACACAAACAAATCCAAATGGCGATTCAAAGTTGTCTCTATTGAATTCGCTCGAAACATACCGTCTAAAACATGTCGTCTTTCTCGACATTCTGGATAAAGATCTCAATGACAGTCGAATGGACTACCTCGTCAATCAAGGTGAAGGATTCGAGTCTGTGTATTCAAGCACTAACGCTACACTCTCGTATCAGGTCGTTTCCTTAAATGGCACAGCCCAGTACCAATCGCTTGACAGTGTGACTCAAAGAGTAATAATTACAGCGATTACACCAAATAATTCTTATATCCATATAAAAGTAAATAACTCTTATCCTCTCTTTAGCATAATTTCTGCTAAACGCATGACAGACAACTTTACCATAAAAGACAACACATGGCTTACACATAGTGTCGATCACTTACTGCTGGCAGAAGATGTAATAGAAGATCTTATCCATATTTTTGATCGTTCGTTTTCCACCATATCAACTTACGAATTGCTTTTAGTAGCTAATACAGTTACAGAAACCAATACAACAGCACAAATACCTGATACCAGCTCAACAGAGACATCAACCATTACAATAACTACTAATTCACTACTTCAATCAACGTCAACTACAGCTATTAATGCATCATCCCAGTCGACAATCAAGCCAATTACCGACACATCGTTCCAATTTAACACAACATCAACTACAGATTCTTCTTCTGAATCATCAACTACAGCAATTGCTCATGAATCATCCCAGCTGACGACAACAACAACTACCGATGTGTCATCTGAATCGACAACCACAATATCTACTGATAAATCATCTCAACCCATGACAACAACAACTGCCGATTTGTCATCTGAATTGACGATAACACCAACTATTGATACATCATTCCAATCCACCACAACAACAAATATCGATTTATCATCTGCATCAAGGATCAGAACAACTACTGATGAATCATCTCAACCGATGACAACAACAACTATCCATTTGTCATCTGAATCGACGACCACAATATCTACTGATGAATCATCTCAACCTATGACAACAACAACTCCAGATTTGTCATCTCCATTGACGATAACACCAACTATTGATACATCATTCCAATCCACCGCAACAGCAAATATCGATTTGTCATCTGCATCGAGGACCACAATAACTACTGATGAGTCATCTCAACCAACCCCAACACCAACTATCGAAGCATCGTCACAGCCAATAACTACGTCAATTACCGAAATGTTATCTCAATCGTCAGCTACAAATGAAAGGACGACATCCATACCGGTGTTCATCTCTACAAGCCCCTCTCGAGACACGACATCGAACGTTGTAGCGACTTCTACAATGCCATCCCTGAATACTACGTCTACTTTGCAAAGAACTTCCGTGTTTTTCACTGTTCCTTCAGTTTTCACAATACATACAGTTTCAGTTGTTTCAAATCAATTTATTGAAGTTAGGATGCGTATTCCCGTAATAGTGGTTATATTATCGGCGGAGGAGTTTATTAAGAATCTTCAGTGGATTTTCACTACGGCTCTTAACGTACCCAGTAATCAAATACAAATTTTCTTGATTTCATTAAAGAGGCGACATGTTCGTAATGTTGCAGAATATCAAGTGAGCGTCCGTTTATTCTCTACAGTAACAGAAACTGCTGAATCTTTGCTAAATCGACTTGATGTCCAGTTAGCTGATGAACATTCAGAACTTCGGAAATACGATTTAACAGTTATGCTAGGTTCTGATTCTATCATAACCGTTACTGTTATGTATTTATGTAGGAATGGAGAAATCCAGACAACGTCATGCGATACAATTCTTCAATTAGTTCCTTCTTGTGGATTTTCTACAAAAAGTGCGAACGTGAAAAGACAAACCTCAAATGGAAATTTTCTAACACGAAATGTAACATTGTACATAATGGGATCCTTCTTATTATACATATTAAGAGTGAATTGAATCATACGTACGAAGAGAACGTTAGAGAGTTGTCACGTATACAAGAACTGGGTGATACTAAAGTAGTGTAGATACATGTAGGAGACATACAGATAGGTGGTATATAAAAGTATGGTTTACTAGCCTGCAACTCCTTACTTTCCTACATTGTTATCACTCTGTAAAGTACTTTTCAATACTCTAGGAACGATATTGAATATGTTGCATTTCTCGATGGAGATTTTTTCTGATTGAAATTTAAGACAATCGTAAAGATGCAACAGTTGTCTCATCTATCTACCATTTTATAGTATTTCCTTCTGTTTACTACATGCGTGACACTCGTTAGATATCAGGAATTAGACCACAATACTTTGTACAAATCGCTCTATTGCTAATAATTAATTAATTACGTAACGTATTTGTATCTTAGTCACGAATTTTATTAATTATTAATTATAATAAATATATTAATCCGAAATTTACTTAATTTATATGATGATGCAGAATCAGGTATTTGCAGTGTCGGTGAGATCACCAAAAAAAGCCGACAATTTTGTCACCGAGAGTGATGGTCAGCGCATACCGATAGGTTCAGTGTCAATAAGCACTGAAAGTAGGCATGCAACAAACCCAAACCGTTTGGGTTTGGTGAGTTTGGGTATTGAGTTTGGGTATTGAGTTTGGGTTTGGGTTTGGGTTTGGGTTTATGAGTTTGGATTTGGGTTTGGGTTTGGGTATTGAGTTTGGGTTTGGGTTTGGGTTTGGGTATTTGAGTTTGGGTTTGGGTTTGGGTTTGAGTTTGGGTTTGGGTATGTAGCATGAGTTGCTGTTTTACTTCTGCTACATCAATTTATTCAACTACTGGTCTTAAAATATAATGCCATTTATATCCAGCTTCTTCCTTGTATTTAGCTATTTATTTTTTGTCGATATGATCAAAAGCATGTTTCTATGATTCAGATTGTTAAATAGTCACATAAAATTATTCTCAATTCTGAGAAGATAGCTTGAAAAGTGGATATTTTTGATTAGTCTACTCAAAATCTGATCGATGGTATATCGATATCACATTTATCAACTGAGGAGGCGGTTGTTCGATGTTCTACCGTAGTCAAACATTGGTTTTCAGTAGGAGGAACCCAAAGTTGAGGCTCATTTCTCTGTAAGCTACATTGATAGATCAAGAACTGACAGAAATTAACATTGTGGAGAGGTAGCTCCCGTAAGGTAGTTTGCCATTCGATAATTTACAAATGGAACCGAAATATCATGCTAGGATAGAGAACTCCAACGAAAATTAGTCAGAACAAATGTTTGAATCTGCAGTCTGGGCAACTTAGAGTACAGTTGTCTATCTCGAATAGATAAGTTTTCACATGCTGCTATATTTTACAGAGCGAGGGACGTTCCGAGACTGAAGACTCCTTAACATACATGGAAAGTTTTCTCTAAGAAAAATTTCCGAGACTCTACGATTTTTTATCTAGAGGTGCTTACCTTGACTTAATTTGTATGTGCATACAACGTGGCAGATCGGTTACGAAAATAAAGGGTCGAATCTCTGCCAGTCTGAGTTGAAAACTTGAAAAAAACAAAATTTTGAGGAAGACTAACCGAGAATCGACCTTTTACTTTCGTAATCAATCTGTCCAGTTGTATACACATAAATTAAGTCAAGCCGAGCAACTCTAGGTAAAAATCTCGTAGAGTCTCGGAAATTTTTCTTAGAGAAAACTTTCCATGTTTGTTAGGGAGTCTTCAATCTCGATACCTCTCTATATTGAGCTTTAATTCTTTGATTAACCCTTTACCCCCTCCCCATAGCTGTTCCAGAAGAGTCACTGATAAAATAACTTTATAAATAGAGTATTAACCTATCGAATATGCCAATGGTGTGGCCTAAACCACCAAATGTCTTGTTCCTGGAGTAGGGCGGTTTGATTGATGTAAAAATCATGTGGTGGGAAATGGGAATTGAACGACATCATAAGACTTAATTTTTTTTTCTTTGACCACATTATTGACTGGATAGAAGCAGCATCTATCTCGTACTGTTGAAGTAATAGGAAAAACGTAACGAGTGAACCAGTAAAAATTAACATCAAAGAATACATGCTTTTTTTACACATTTTGTCAAATTTAAGCCTATTTTGCTCTAAGGCATTTTGTAACGTATGAAGGAATTTAATTCATCATAGATACTATTTCGACTTCGCATGAGTTGAAGTCTATAACGCTTATATTAACTTTGTTCTTGATTACCCTCCATCTGTCTAACAGTGACTACATGGTCAATGATGTTCCTTAGTATGTGTAATTCGCGGAGTTATCATGAAGCTTTCGAAACACATCTAATTCAGCAGTGGACTTATTCATCGATTAATATCACGCAGAAATTCCAAAAGACCTCTACCGACTGCAAGTAGAGAACATTTTGTTTGAAAAATTTCGAATTTTTGTATTTTTTGCAAAATTATCGATTTTCTAACTCACATATCTCAAAGGCAGACCAATAAAACAAAATATCTTTTTATTAATAGATAGCTTGTGAGGTTACCTACAAATAATGTCTCGGGAGTTTTTCAGTCTCATGCTTCCTTTATTTTCTGTGATCGTTCTACAAATGGGTCATATATGACCCATTGGGGGGGGGGGGGGGGGGGGGGGGGGGGGGGG